GAACAGAAAGCCCAGCCAGCAGCTATGTGTGTCTGCAGAGAAATGTCAGTGGCTTCACTGTGCAGGGATATCAGTATGCAGTGTACAGTACTGCCAGATTCAGATCTTAAACAAGGAACCATACTGGACTTGGGACCCATTTTGCTGCCCTACCTGGGCAGTGAACTTAATAGCTCTGCTTACTGCTGAATATAATACCTTGTCCTGCATTCCAATGAAATCCTGACCAGAAAAATCCAGGCAAGTGCAGAGCTCACCCTACAGTTGTGTTTGTGTAGGAAATCAAGTTAGTACTTTGATCCAAGTGTTCCGAAACTGCAGTACCTGCCCTTCCCAACCTCAGTAGTCAGGCACTGGCCTCACCCAAAAACAGACTCTGAGAGCAAGCTGCAATTCCCCATTAATGATATTAGCTGATCCCTCCAGACTGGTGAAAAACGTCTCTACCAACAGTTTTCTAAAGTCTGAAAGAAGATATTGCTTACTCAAACACACAAATACCAATGTAAAGAATAAAATATCATAAAAATTAGTGTAAATAAACTTTATGCTAAAACTGATAAAAATAAAGATTATTATTTAATGATAAATGGACTAATCCATACAGAAAATATAACAATTGTAAATATGCACACAACATAGAACACATAAATATATGATGCAAACACTAATAGAAATAAATAGCAATACCATAGTAGTTGAGGCCATTAAAACACAATTGCAACAATGGATAGATTATCCAGATTTGAAGAATAGTATAGGCTAATTTGACCTAACAGAGACAAAATATTCAGTACAACTCCAGCAGAATAGTACATGGGATATTTTCTAGGATAAGTCATATATTAGGCTATAAAACAAGTCAGAGTAAATTTAAGAGAATTGAAATATCAAATAAATTTTCTTTCTTTAAGTTTTTATTTACATTCCGGTTAGTTAACATATAGTGAAATATTACTTTCATGTCTAAAATTTAGTGATTCAACAACAACATACATAACACCTTGCTCATCACAACAAGTGCAGTACTTAATCCCCATTTGATATTTAACCCATCCCTCCCGTTCACCTCCCCTCTGGTAATCATCAATTTGCTCTCTATAGTTGAGTCTCTTTCTTAGTTTCTCTCTCTCTCTCTCTCTCTCTCTCCCTCTTTCTCTTTTATACCTCTATGATTATTTGTTATGTTTATTATATTACACATATGAGTGAAATTATATTGTCATATTGTCTTTCTCTGACTGGCTTATTTCACTTAGCGTATTATTCTCTAACTCCATCCATGTCCTTGGAAATGGCAAGACTTCATTCTTTTTTTTGACTAGGTAATATTCCACTGTGTATATATACTACATCTTTATACTTTCATCAGTCGATGGACACGGGCTGTTTCCATCTTTTATAATGTTGCCATATACAGCAACGTGCATGTAACCCTTTGAATTATCACTCTTGTATCCTTTTGGTAAATATCTAGTAGTGCAATTGTTGGATTGTAGGGTAGTTCTATTTTTGACTTTTTAAAGAACCTCATTATGTTTTCCAGAGTGGCTTCATCAGTTTGCATTCCCACCAAGACTGCAAGAGGATTCCCCTTTCTCCACATCCTCACCAATACCTGTTTCCTGTGTTGTTAATTTTAGCCATTCCGACTGGTGTGAGGTGATGTCTCATTGTAGATTTCATTTGTACATCCTTGATGAACAGTGATGCTGAGCATCTTTTCATGTGTCAGTTGGCCATTTGAATGTCTTCTTGGGAGAAATTTCTCTTCTGGTCTTCTGCCCATTTTTTTGACTCATTTGTCTTTTGGGTGTTGAGATTTATAAGTTCCTTATATATTTTGGATATTAACCCTTTATCTGATATTTCATTTGCAAATATCTTCTCCCAGTCCATCAGTTGCTTTTTAGTTTTGTTGATTGTTTCCTTTGCTGTTCAGAACTTTTTATTTTGATGAAGTCCCAATAGTTTATTTTTGCTTTTGTTTCCTTTTCTCAGGAGACGTATCTAAAAAGTTGCTATGGCCATTGTCAAAAAAGTTGCTTCCTCTCTTCTCCTCTAGGATTTTAATGCTTTCCTGTCTCACATTTAGATCTTTAAACTACATTTAGATTTTTAAACCATTTTGAATTTATTTTTGAGTATGGTATAGGAAAGTAGTCCAATTTCTTTAAAAAATTAACGTTTATTCATTCTTGAGAGATGGAGATAGAATGCAAGTAGGGGAAGGGCAGAGAGAGAGGGAGATCCAGAATCCGAAGGAGGCTCCAAGCTATGAACTGTTGGCCCAGGGTCCAATGCAATGTGGGGCTAGAACCCATGAGCTGTGAAATCATGACCTGAGACAAAATCAGATGTTGAACCAACTGAGCTACCCATAATAAAAAAGTGGTCCTGTTTTATTCTTTTACATGTTCCTGTTCAGTTTTACCAACATTATTGCTGAAGAGACTGTCTTTTTTCCCATTGGGTATTCTTTCCTACTTTGTTAAAGATAATTGGCCATATACTTGTGGGTTCATTCCTGGATTTCCTATCCTGTTCTACTGACTTATATGTGTATTTTTGTGCCAGTACCATACTGTCTTGATCACTACCTCTTTGTAATATAACTTGAAGTTCAGAATTGTGATAGCTCTAGTTTTGCCTTTCTTTTCCAAGGTTGCTTTGGCTATTTGGGGGTATTTTGCAGTTCGATACCAAGTTTAGGATTTTTTTCAACTTCTGTGAAAAATACTGATGGTATTTTGATATGGATTATATTAAATATGTAGATCCCTTTGGATTGCATATGCATTGTAGCAATATTCATTCTTGTGGTCCATGAGCATGAAATGTCTTTCCATTTCTTTGTGTCATCTTCAATTTCTTTAATCAGTGTTTTATAATTTCAGATACAGGTCTTTCATCCTTTGGGTTAGGTTTATTCCTAAGTACCTTATGGTTTTTGGTACAATTGTAAATGAGATTGATTCTTTAATTTCACTTTCTGCTGCTTCATTATTGGTGTATGGAAATGCAACAGATTTCTGAATGTTCATTTTGTATCCTTGGACTTTATTGAATTTGTATATCCATTCTAGCAATTTTTTGGTGGAGTCTTTCGGGTTTTCTATATAAAGTATCAAGTCATCTTGAAATAGGAAAAGTTTGACTTCTTCCTTGCTGATTTGGAAACCTCTTACTTCTTTGTCAGATTGCTGTGGCTAGGACTTACAGTACTATGTTAAATAACAGTGGTGAGAGTTGACATCTCTGCTTTGTTCCTAATCCAAGAGGAAATGATGTCACATTTTCCCCATTGAAGATGATATTACCTGTGGGTTTTGTATATGGACTTTATTATATGGAGGTAAATTCCCTCTAGACCTATTTTGTATGAGGGTTTTTGTCATGAATGGATATTGTACTTTGTCAAATGCCTTTACTGCATGTATTGAAATTATCATATGTTTGTTGTCCTTTCAGTTATTAATGTGGTGTATCACACTGATTAATTTGTGAATACTGAACCACCTTGCAACTCAGGAATACATCCCACTTGATCATGGTGACTGATTCTTTAAATTACTATTGAATTTGATTTGCTAGTATCTTGTTGAACATTTTTACATCTGTGCTCATCAGGGATATTGTCCAGTAGTTCTATTTTAATGGAGTCTTTATTTGGTTTTGGTATCAGGGTAATCCTGACCTAATAGAATAAATTTAGAAGTTTTCCCTCCATTTCTGTTTTTTGGAATAAATATCAACTTTTCCTTAAATGTTTGGTAGAATTCCCCTGTGAAGCCATCTGGCCCTGGACATTTGTTTGTTTGGAAATTTTTTTTATTGTTGATTCAACTTCTTTGCTCATTATCTGCCTATTCAAGTTTTCTATTTCTTCCTGTTTCAGTTTTGGTAGTTTCTAGGGATTTATTCATTTCTCTTGGGTGTCCAATTTGTTGACATATATTTTTTTCACAATATTTTCTTACAATTGCTTATATTTCTGTGATGTTGGTTGTTACTTCTCCTCTATAATTTGTGATTTTATTTTGGGGGGGGGTCCTTTCTCTTTTCTTTTTGATAAACCTAGCTTCAGTCTTATTATTTTTGTTAATTGTTTTAAAGAACCAGCTGCTGGTTTCAATGATTTGTTCTTTTGCTTTTTAGTTTCCACATCTTTTATTTCTGCTCTAATCTTTATTATTTCCCTTTTTTTCTGCTGGATTTATACTTTGTTGTTCTTTTTCTAGCTCTTTAAGATGTAAGGTTAGATTGTTTATTAGAGATGCTTCTTGCTTTTTAAGAAACAACTCTCTTGTTTTGTAATCCTGTTAGGAGCACTTTTTCTGCATCCCAAAAGTTTTGGACTGTCGTGTTTTCATTTTGTTTCCGTATATGTTTTTTCTTTTTTAAATTTCATTTCTGATTTCTTGGTTGACTCATTCATTGCTTAGTAGCATTTTGTTTACCCTCTATGTATTTGTGATCTTTCCAAATTTTTTTCTTGTCTTTGCCCTTAAGTTTGATAAGACTGTCCTCAGATAGCATGCATAGTATGACCTCAATATTTTTGTACTTGTTGAGGCCAGATTTGTGAACTGCCTGTGATCTATCTTGGATAGTGGCTCATGTGGACTTGAAAAGAATGTGTGTTCTGCTGTTTTAGGATGCAAAGTTCTGAATATATCTGTTAAGTCCATCTAGTTCAGTGTATCATTCTAACCCACTGTTTCCTTGACGATTATTTTCTGTTTAGACACTCTGTACATTGATATAAATGGGGTGTTAAAAATACCCTGGTATTATTATATTATTAATTCCTTTATGTTTGTTATCAACATATATTTTTATGTTTTATATATTTGGATGCATTAATATTCAGTGCATAAATATTTACAATTGTTAGATCTTGTTAGAGTCCCTTTTATTATGAAATAGTGTCCTTCATCTCTTGTTACAGTCTTTGATTTAAAGTTCAGTTTTTCCTGAGTAAAGCAGAGGCAGCGGGGGAAGATGGCGGCGGCCGTTCCACAGCGGGCCTGGACCGTGGAGCAGCTGCGCAGTGAGCAGCTACCCAAGAAGGACATTATCAAGTTTCTACAGGACCACGGTTCAGATTCGTTTCTTGCAGAACATAAGTTATTAGGAAACATTAAAAACGTGGCCAAGACAACTAACAAGGACCATTTGGTTACAGCCTATAACCATCTTTTTGAAAGTAAGCGTTTCAAGGGTACTGAAAGTATAAGTGTCTGAGCAGGTGAAAAATGTGAAGCTTAATGAAGATAAACCCAAAGAAACCAAGTCTGAAGAAACTCTGGATGAGGGTCCACCAAAATATGTGAAATCTGTTCTTAAGAAAGGAGATAAAACCAACTTTCCCAAAAAGGGAGATGTTGTTCACTGCTGGTATACAGGAACACTACAGGATGGGACTGTTTTTGATACTAATGTTCAAACGAGTTCAAAGAAGAAGAAAAATGCCAAGCCTTTAAGTTTTAAGGTTGGAATAGGCAAAGTTATTAGAGGATGGGATGAAGCACTCTTGACCATGAGTAAGGGAGAAAAGGCTCGACTAGAAATTGAACCAGAATGGGCTTATGGAAAGAAAGGACAGCCTGATGCCAAAATTCCACCAAATGCAAAACTCATTTTTGAAGTGGAATTAGTGGATATTGACTGAAATAGCAATAGCTATTTATAGCAATAAAACATGGCTTTGAAGAAACTTATGTAACTAGAGCTGGTTACTGTTGTAGTGGAAGAATCAATCGGATAATTCAAGAATGCAGATATTGGTTACCCAATCCCCAATTTTTAATATATGTAATCCATTATAATTCCCTAAAGTTTGAAATATTTTACGACAGCTGTGTAAAATATTGGCTAAGGAGAACTGACTTCCTTTTACCTCATGTTGTAAACTAAAAGGCTCAATAAAATATATTCAGTGTCTTGAAAAAAAATAAATAAAGTTCAGTTTTTCCTACAAACACATTGCTACTCAGGGTTTTTTTTGATGAACATTTGTATGACAAATGTTTCTCCAAGCCCTCACTTTTAATCTGAACTTTTTAAACATATTTTTAATTTTTTAAATTATTTTTAATAGTGAGAGACTGAACGTGAGTGAGGGAGGTTCAGAGAGAGAGAGGGACACACGTAATCTGAAGCAGGCTCCAGGCCCCATGCTGTCATCACAGAGCCTGATGCAGGGGTAGAACTTCCCACCTAGGCCAAAGTCGGATGCTTAACTGATGGAGCCACCCAGGCACCCCTAATTTGCACATGTTTTTAGGTCTTTTTTTTTTTTTAGTTTGTTTTATTTATTTATTTATTTATTTATTTATTTATGTTTAATAATTTATTGTCAAGTTGGTTTCCATATAACACCCAGCGCTCATCCCCACAAGTGCCCTCCTCCATGCCCATCACCTGCCTTCCACTCACCCCCATACCCATTAGTCCTCAGCTCGTTCTCAACACTCAAGAGTCTCTCAGGGTTTTCCTCCCTCCCTCTCCTCCCCTATTTCCCCCCTTCTTCTCCCCCACGGTCCTCCGTAAAGTTCCTCCTAATCCTCTTATACCTGCAAACATATGGTAGCTGTCCTCTGCCCGACTTATTTCGCTCAGCATAATACCCTCAAGATCCACCCATGTTGCTACACATGGCCAGATTTCATTTTTTCTCATCGCCATGTAGTATTCCATCGTGTAGATAAACCACATTGTCTTGATCCATTCGTCCGTTGATGGACACTTAGGCTCTTTCCATGTTTTGGCTATTGTTGAGAGTGCTACTATGAACATTGGGGTACATGTGCTCCTATACATCAGCACTCCTGTATCCCTTGGGTAAATTCCCAGCAGTGCTATTGCTGTGTCATAGGGGAGTTCTATTGTTAATTTTCTGAGGAACCTCCACACTGTTTTCCAGAGGGGCTGTACCAGTTTACATTCCCACCAACAGTGTAGGAGGGTGCCCTTTTCTCCACATCCTCGCCAGCATCTATAGTCTTCTGATTTGCTCATTTTAGCCACTCTGTCTGGCATGAGGTGGTATCTCAGTGTGGTTTTGATTTGCATTTCCCTGATGAGGAGGGATGCTGAGCATCGTTTCATGTGTCTGTTGGCCACCTGGGTGTCCTCTTTGGAGAAGTGTCTGTTCATATCTTCTGCCCTTTTCCTCACTGGAGTGTTTGTTTTTCGGGTGTGGAGTTTGGTGAGTTTTTATAGATTTTGGACACTAGCCCTTTATCTGACATGTCATTTGCAACTATCTTTTCCCATTCCGTTGGTTGCCTATTAGTTTTGTGGGTTGTTTCCTTTGCTGTAAAGAAGCTTTTAATTTTGATGAGGTCCCAATCGTTTATTTTTGCTCTTGATTCTTTTGCTTTTGGGGATGTGTCAGGTAAGAAATTGTTGCAGTGGAGGTCAAGGAGGTTGTTTCCTGCTTTCTCCTCTAGGGTTTTGATGGTTTCCTGTCTCATGTTCAGGTCCTTTATCCATTTTGAGTTTATTTTTGTGTATGGTGTGAGAAAGTGATCTAGTTTCATTCTTCTACACGTTGCTGTCCAGTTCTCCCAACACTATCTATTAAAGAGGATGCCTTTTTTCCATTGAATACTCGTTCCTGCTTTGTCAAAGGTTAGTTGGCTGTATACTTTTGGGTCCAGTTCTGAATTCTTGATTCTATTCCATTGGTCTATGTGTCTGTTTTTGTGCCAATACCATACTGTCTTGATGATGACAGCTTTGTAGTAAAAGCTAAAGTCTGGGATGGTGATGCCTCTCATTTTGGTTTTCTTCTTTAATATTACTTTGGCTATTCGGGGTCTTTTGTGGTTCCATACAAATTTTAGGATAGTTTGTTCTAGTTTTGAGAAGGACACTGGTGCAAATTTGATTGGGATTGCATTGAATGTGTAGATTGCTGTGGGTAGTAATGACATTTTAACTATATTTATTCTTCCAATCTATGAGCATGGAATGTTTTTCCATTTCTTTGTGTCGTCTTCAATTTCCTTCATAAATTTTCTATAGTTTTCATCCTACAGATCTCTTATATCCTTGGTTAGGTTTATTCCTAGCTACTCTATGGTTTTTTGTGCAGTTGTGAATGGGATCAGTTTCTTGATTTCTCTTTCTGTTGCTTCATTGTTGGTGTATAAAAACGCAACCGTTTTCTGCACGTTGATTTTGTACCCTGCAACTTTACTGGATTCTTGGATCAGTTCTAGTAGGTTTCTGGTGGAGTCTGTCGGGTTTTCTATGTAGAGTATCATGTCATCTGCAAAAAGTGAAAGTTTGACTTCTTCTTTGCCAGTTCTGATGCCTTTGATTTCCTTTTGTTGTCTAGTGGTTGATGCTAGAACTTCCAGCACTATGTTAAATAACAGTGGTGAGAGTGTTCAACCCTGTCGTGTTCCAGATCCAAGGGGGAAAGCTCTCACTTTTTCCCCATTGAAGATGATATTAACTGAGGGCTTCTCATAGATGGCTTTTATGATATTTAAATAAGTTCCTTCTAACCCGACTTTCTCGAGGGTCTTTATTAAGAAGAGATGCTGTATTTTGTCAAATGCTTTTTCTGCATCTATTTTTTTAAATACTTTTTATTTATTTCTAAGAGAGAGAGAGACACAGCGTGATCAGGGGAGGGTCAGAGAGAGAGGGAGATACAGACTCTGAAATTGGCTCCAGGCTCTGAGCTGGTAGTTAGCACAGAGCCCGATGCGGAGCTCGAACCCGTGAACCGCGAGATCATGACCTAAGCGAAAGTCAGATGCTTAACCGACTAAGCCACCCAGGCGCCCCATTTCTGTATCTATTGACAGGATCATATGATTTTTTTCTTTTCTTTTGTTGATGCGATGTATCACATTGATTGATTTGCAAATATTGAACCAGCCCTCTGACCCAGGAATGAATCCCACTTGATCTTGTGGATAATTCTTTTTATATGCTGTTGGGTACGACTTGCAACTATCTTGTTGAGGATTTTTGCATCTGTATTCACCAAGGACATTGGCCTGTAGTTCTCCTTTTTTGCTGGGTTTCTGTCTGGCTTGGGAATCAAAGTGATGCTAACTTAATAAAATGAGTTGGGAAATTTTCCTTTGATTTCTATTTTTTGGAATAGTTTGAGAAGAATGGGTTTTCATTCCGTTTTAAATGTCTGGTAGAATTCCCCAGGGAAGCCAACTGGCCCAGGGCTCTTATTTGTTGAGAGATTTTTGATAACTTATTTGATTTCCTCACTTTTTTGGGACTGTTCATGTTCTCTGTCTCTTCCCCTGTGAATTTTGGTAGTGAGTGTGTGTTTAGGAATTTGTCAACTTCTTCTAAGTTGTCCAGTTTGTTCGCATATAGTTTTTCATAATATTCCCTGATAATTCCTTGTATTTCTGAGGATTTGCTTGTAATCAGTCATTTTCATTCCTGCTTTTATCTATTTGAGTGCTCTCTCTGTTCTTTTGGAGAAGCCTGGCTAGAAGTTTGTCAATTTCATTTCTTTTTTTCCAAAAACCTACTCTTGTTTTCATTGATCACATCAACTGTTTCTTTGGTTTCTATATTATTTATTTATGCCCTGATTTTTGTTATTTCTCTTCTTCTATTGGGTTTGCGGTGCTATTGTTGCTCTCCGTCTAGTTGCTTTAGGTGCGCTGTTAGATTTTGCACTTGCACTTTTTCTAATTTCTTGAAGTAGGCCTGGAGTGCAATATACTTTTCTGTTAGGACTGCTTTCACTGCATCCCATAGAGTTTGGATTGTTGTATTCTCAGTTTCATTTGTTTCCATATATTTTTAAATTTCTTCTCTAATTGCCTGATTGGCCATTTTGTTCTTTAGTAGAGTGTTCTATAACTTCCATGTTTTGGGGGGTTTTCCAGAGTTCTTTCTGTGGTTGATTTCGAGTTTCATAGCATTGTGATTTGGAAGTATGCATGGTATGATCTCAATTATTTTATATTTATTGAGGGCTGCTTTATGTCCCAGTATGTGATCTCTCTTGGAGAATGTGCCATGCGCACTTGAGAAGAAATAGCCTTAAGATGTAGAGTTCTAAATATATCTGTCAAATCTATCTGGTCCAATGTGTCATTTAGGTTTATTGTGTTTAGTGATTTTCTGTCTAGTTCATATATCCCTTGTTGTAAGAGGAGTATTAACGTCCCAGCTATTAGTACGTTCTTATTGATAAGACTGTTTCTGTTTGTGGTTGTTTTTTGTATTTAGGTGCTCCCATATTTGGTGTGTAGACATTTATAATTGTTAGTACTTCCTGATGGATAGACTCTTAATTATTATATAATGCCCTTCTTCATCCCTTGTACTGCCTTTAAAGTCCAGTTTGTCTGATATAATATAGCTATTCCAGCTTTTTTATTTTTTACTTCAACTAACCTGATAAATATTTCTCCATCCCCTCACTTTTAATCTGAAGGCGAACTCCAGTCTAAAATGAGTTTCTTGCAGACAGCAAATAGATGGATTTTGTATTTTTATCCATTCTGCTACCCTATGTCTTTTGATTGGGGCATTTAGTCCATTTACATTCAGTGTTATTATTGAAATATATGGGTTAGACACATTGTGTCCTTTGTGGGATTCATGCTTGTGCTGGTATCTTTAGCATCTTGTGTTCCTTGCAACCTTTCCCTCAGAGAGGCCCCGTCAGGATTTC